TCCTTGGGTAATTATAGCAAAATAACACTAGCAGAAGATAATAGGCAGTAATTTGGTTACAAAGACTAGAACAAATGTGTCCTAGATGATTACTTATAAATAAAATATCTCTCATTAAAAAGTATTGGTGGAGAATCTTAGTCCCAGATACGTCAAAGGAAAAAAAAAATCCTATTAATTTCAGTGAAGACAGGATTTTGCTTTTTGATGATTTCTTATTACAATAATTTAATAGAAACTCAAGAGAAGTTAAATCTAATTTGTCAGCTTGTCTGCACTGTTTATTTGTTTGCATTGCATTCTGGTATTCTTTGAAGTAAATTTTATTAAATGATATAAACTGTAAAAAGCAGCCTAAGCTATTTATGAATAAAAATTGGGAAAAGGATTTATATCTTATTGGTTGTTTTCAATGTTATGCATGATATATACAGTATTTGTTCAATGAGATTGTTGCCTTACACTGCCTTTCTCAAAGCATGATTTAATTATGTCAGATTTTCCCTGATCACACTGAATGTATGCAAATTGTGAAGCTGGTGATATTTTCGGTATATGATATTACCTTGGTCCCCTGTTTCTAAATTGAACTGCTTGCTGTTATTCACAGGTTCTGTCTCTAATGGATTGAGAGTTCCTTTTTGAAGGCAATTAACAGTGCATACTGAGTTCTCATCCTGGTCTTCCATCGAGGCTGTATAAGGTTTTGTGCCTTGTCTTGAGAAATGTCTTAGGGTCCTCACAAGTAGGTGATGCCAGTACCTACCACAAAATCTTTTTGTGTTTGGTTGCAATTTCCTCTTTAGGAGGAATTGACACCTGGTTCACTTGTCAAATCTATTTTAGGGTAAATGAAAATTTACTGCTTCCTAAAAATGCTATATATAGTCCTGTAAAATATTCTCAGTGGTTCAGGTTGCTCACAGTTACTGAGCATTATACAAGAAAAGCACTTGAAGAGAACAAGCTGCTTTTATTAACCAAAAGAAGCTCTATCATAATGTATTACAGAGTGTTGAGCTCAGTAACACTGCACCTTCAAACCAGTAAGTACTTCTGCTTATATTTTATAATTCATAAAAACTGATTTAGGAATAATTTATATGACGTTTAGGTTTTTTGGCAATTTGTGAAAAATCCAATGTGTTTTACAAATGTAATTATTGCTTAAAAGTCAATCTTTACATATATATATTTGTACAAAATTGTATCAACCTATGTTAACTCTCCAAGGCAAGCATTCAACAAATGGTTCTGAGGAACTGTGATGTTCAAAACCATGAAAAAAATCATTCACTTGTCTTTGATGGGGAGATCCCCAAGGCTGCCTATTCGTAATGCAGAATTCAGAATAGTCACCACAACAAGTGCTGTGACACTGAAAGCCCAGAGGAACATGAAAGATAACAACATGTGAATCTTTCTCATGTGCTGATGTCCCTGCTGTAGCTACACATCTCTGTGAAACTGAGTTCTAGGTGAATGGGTCTTGCTTCTCCTACCTACTTTGGCACTAGAAGTCATTGGAAAATGAAGGGTCTGGTCACTGTACACTGCTTATGCATTTTACAATAATGAAAATTAAAAAAAAAAAAAAAAAAAAAACAAACCAACAGAACATATGAAACAACAAGAGGAAGTAACCCAGGGATCGCCAAGATACTGTATTTTAAAAGAGTGATCTGGCTGCTGGTCACACCATCCTGCATCATCTTGTAGATCTGCTACACTTGAGAATCATGAACTTCTGTCTACGCAAGGCATCACTTCAGCTTCTTGGGTAGGAGACGAGGAATTAAATGGGTCTTACTGGGCATATGCTTAACTAATTCACTGAATTTTAGCTTTCTAGAGTTTGGGCATCTAGTTTAAGCTAGTTGTTACACTTCTAACGTAGTGTGGTACATTAAGGTATAAACACATCCAGAGTGTATCAGAGTGAACCAGTATTCAACCCAGTTCAAACTGTTACTCAGAATTTCTCTAGAACAAAAAAAAAGTAGACAGGATGACTAGCCTGGATGTCTGAAATACTTCGTATTCCTGACTTAATGTATTAAAACGCACATTTCCTCACTCTTATCTTTACAAAAAGAACCCTCCTTCATCTGGACATCTTTGGGAAAAAATATGTGCAATTTGTTGAATATCACTCAAAAGAAACAGATAGTTCTTTAACTTGGGAATCATTTCATGCATTGTCAAAGGCATTTTTATTCCTTACACGTTAGACGAGGAGTGTTTAATAGTCTCTGCAAAGTATGCTGTTGAATTGTCAGTTCCAGGAACTTGTTTTGATATCCTGATGGAAAAAGTGCAGTCTTGTTGGTATTAGTCTCAAGAAGGATTTCATCCCCTCCATGCTATAGACCTGATTTTTCAACGTCCTTAAGTAAGAGCCATTGATAAGTAGGCCTCTCCAAAATCAATGTTATGCATAAACTGAAGTCTGTTCTTGTATCATGCCTGTGGTTTGATGTGACAGTCATCCTTTTTCTTCTGAGTGGGAATGAAATGAGTGACAAAACTGCATGGGAACTGCTGAAGCACTGCAGTTCTGTACATCCCTCATCTTCACTCGAATTTAATCCGATTGGGAATAAGGCCGGGTACCCTGGGATTTTGCCTGCTCATCCAAGGGTCCTTGTTTCTACTGCACCTTTCTCCTGGCCTCCCCATACATCATCAGAGAAAGATGATAGCTTGTTTCTTCGATTGTTGTTCTCCTGAGATAAAGAGACCAGCAATGCCCTTTATATTTCTTATCTAGGAAATGACAGGCTTAAATAGATTTGCTGTTCCTGCAGAAAGGCAATGATCTTGATCTTCTGACAAGATTTGTTGAGTTACATAGGTCTGTAAAAAAAAAAGGACTTTACAGCATAGGTAGGAAGTATGGCCACCTGAATGGTGTACTGGGTTGTTTTGTTTTGTTTTGTTTAACTTACTGTCTACAGGACATAAATAAACATCATTGATCAAACAGGAGGAAAGGAATTGCACACAAGTAGAGATGAGGGAAGCTATTCTGTTTTCTGTAGCACAGGCTGGTAGGACCAAGAGGACAGCATTTGAAACAACTATGGTACAGTTTCATATAAACTGTCAAATTCGTCTGGTTTACCTGAAGCAGAATGTCCTTAACTCTGTTTGCAGTAGATGGGAGCTCACCTGACACATACACACAGAGGATAAAAGTGGTGCTAAGATTTGAGAGTTTTAGGGAAAAAAATTCTAGCACTTGCTTTGTATACAGTGCACAGTCAAGATACTGTCCTTTTGTCCTTTTTTTTTTTTTTTTTTTCCTCTTTAAGTTACTGAGACAAACACAGCTAACTTTATTTAATTCAATGCAGATTTGAGATTTTTTTTCATTCATTAGCATAAAGAGATCAACACATCCTGAAGAAAAGGGACCTGCATAGATTTAGGACAGTTCAAAATCTGACCTCCCTCATATTCTGTTTAACTTCAAGTAGATACTAAATCATTCATTGGTATGAACAAAAGGCACAGATGGAAATGTCATCCTATGCCACAGAGAGGAAGTAGTTTATAAACCCTTAGACAAAAGAAAATGAAACAGTACTTCCTGCCTTAAGTTTCTGTGTTGTCTGATGCATGTAAAATAATGTCTCCTCAAAGTAATAGCACCATGTCAGTGAGGACAACCTTATAATTATGTGAAATACAACTGAAATCACAATGAATAATGTTAGTACTTCAAAATATGGGAAGGGTGGAGGGAATATCTTTAAATGATGCTGAAAAGACTGACAATAAAAAATTGCTTTTCTACACTTTTAAGCAAAGTAGTTTGAAATGTCTTTTTTTTTACTTAAATCCACATTAGATATATATAAACAAGGAAGATACTTTTCTAGCCAGCTGTAAATTTTATTAATTGCATGTTTATTCTGTAGAGCAATTTGTTTTTTCTTTTTTCAACAAGACACAATGTAATTCATAATATAATTACTTGAAAGGCCACTTATATGCTTAGAATTAATGATCTGCTGAAATTCCTGATTAGAGCTCTCATAAATAAAGTACATTCTCATTACAGAGTTTCCTTTTGTTATTTTATCATCTAATAATAAATATTTGTTTTTAATTTGGTATGACCTTTATGTTAATACAACTAGATTTTTTAATGTGGAAAAAAAGAGAGGACTTCTTTGACATGTTATCACCTCAGATGGAGTAGGGAATCCATCGATTGTCAGTGGAAAAAAATCATTTTTTGACATGACAATGAATTCACTAACTTGTCTCCTTTTCTTTTCTTTTCTTTTCTTTTCTTTTCTTTTCTTTTCTTTTCTTTTCTTTTCTTTTCTTTTCTTTTCTTTTCTTTTCTTTTCTTTTCTTTTCTTTTCTTTTCTTTTCTTTTCTTTTCTTTTCTTTTCTTTTCTTTTCTTTTCTTTTCTTTTCTTTTCTTTTCTTCTTTTCTTTTCTTTCTTTTCTTTTCTTTTCTTTTCTTTTCTTTTCTTTTCTTTTCTTTTCTTTTCTTTTCTTTTCTTTTCTTTTCTTTTCTTTTCTTTTCTTTTCTTTTCTTTTCTTTTCTTTTCTTTTCTTTTCTTTTCTTTTCTTTTCTTTTCTTTTCTTTTCTTTTCTTTTCTTTTCTTTTCTTTTCTTTTTCTTTTCTTTTCTTTTCTTTTCTTTTCTTTTCTTTTCTTTTCTTTTCTTTTTTTTTTTTTTTTTTTTTTTTTTTTTATGTGTGTGTGTGTGTATAGTCAGGACTAAATATAGGTAAAGGTATTTCAGACTAAATTTCACAAATGTCATCTCATTTATTTGAATCAGACACTGCCAAAGTATAATACACCCATATGATCAAAGGGACTTCAGACCACATAACAATAAATTGATTTAATTATATACTATAGAGGAGTTAAAAATTCCCTTGGAAGGAGATCAGCTATTTCTAATACTATTTGCAATGATAACTACACTGACTTGCTTGTGCATGGTTTTTTATAATTCTTTTTTTTTCCCTCTAGGCTGTACTGTGGAGGTACAAGTTTTCCCAGCTCAAAGGTTCTTCAGATGATGGGAAGAGCAAAATCAAATTTTTGTTCCAAAACCAAGATACTAAACAAATTGAAGCAAAGGTAAAAACTATGCATTTTTTGTTCTATAAAGGCAGTGTATATTAAAAGCAGTTACCAAAGCAGCTAGGAGAATAGAGGCGTAAATTCAATTAAATTACTTGGAAATATCAGATTAATGCACAAAGTCAAAGAATCCAAAGAAAACGGAACAAATTCCAGGGAAAATAAGCTGAATCAATTGCTTGGATTTTTGCTAGTTTAAAGTCTTTTGAAAGGTGTAATTACATTAAAAAATAATAAAAACCAAGGCTCACTATATATAGTTTTATACACATTTGGCAACTCTCATCTTTATCATTTAGATAAAGTTGGCTGAGAGTATGAATGCCCTCTTTTTCACCCTATTCTCATATCATGATGAAATGGTGCAAAATATATCCTTAAGTCACCCTGGGGACAAAACCCAGCAAATGTCTACAATACGTTTTTATTTCTCAGAGCAAAAAAGTGTGGATAAAACACATAATCCCTTACAAGACTGAAGTCTTCTGTCTGTGTCTAATTCAAAATCAGTTGTATTTTCAGTTGTGCTGTATGATTCAAAAGTTAATTTATGAAACAGTAACGCAGAGAAACTTATGCTTATTTTTCTTTATATTTTTTGAGAATAGGGCATTTACTGTCCCAATGTGTGTGAAGAGAAGTGTTTTCCCAGGATCTTTGATAACTGGAACTGCCTTAAAGTCTAAATCAAAGGTCTTTTTGACTAAAATCCCAATTTTTGTGTAAATCTAAAGGCTGTTTTCTTGGCCATTTCTAAGCCTTGCTTTTTAAGCATTTGCTGTACCATTTTTCTGATTGTGTCAGAGAGAAAATTGCTGAATGCATGTGATAACTATACAGTTCCATGAGCAAAAAGGAAATGACTAAGTAAATTGTTGTCTGAAAGGGCTAAATATACACAGTATAATAAAGTATGTAAAGAAAAAAGGCATTATATCAGGGACAGTCATGAGTTTAAATGCAAATAACTACATTAGGCAGTTATTTTTTCCTTCCTGCATATGTCTTTATGTTTGGTGTTAATTATTTTCCACCTAACAGCTATTTACTTGATTTTGAATGTTGTACTCAATACAATAAAGGTATGTAAATGTTCCCATTAAATCAATAGCAATGAAATGTCACGGACCGTGGCTTTCAATACCTTCATGTTCTGCTTCCTCTCAAGGACAAATATTTTCTTACTTTTGATTTCCTTCAGAAACTTTTTTAATAGTACAAAATTTCTTTTAATCTCTAATAAGAAAACAGAACCTAATGTCGTGAGGATGATTTTCTGTTAAGCAAATAATTGTAAACTTTTATCATGTTACTGAGTCCAGCTGAAGGATGAAACTCAGCATTGTTTTTCTAAATATCTGTCTGCTACTGCCATTATTCTAACAAATGGATTTTAATGGTAAACAAATTCTGTAGAAATCCAAGAATGGAACAGTACTTCTTTTTTTTTTTTTTTTTCTCAGTAAAACTAGAATATATTTTTAATACTAAATTAAATTAAAAAAAAAATGAAATCTACATTTTGAAGAATAAAAATATTATTCATCAAAATGTTTTCACATTTAAAATTAAAACAGGCACACAAATTATATATCTATAAGCCTTAGTGATAATCTCGTACTTTTTTCGTACCTATTGTTATTCCCACTCAAACTGAATAGAGCTTTATTTCTAGGAAATTTCACCTTTCTACTTATTATGAAGGTAGAAATTCTACCTTCTACCTTATGAAGACAGAATATTATACACGCTTGCTAGCATGATTAATATGCTGACATGTTCACTGGTTGCTTCTCTTTATTGTAAATTTAAACTTTTACACTGATCAATTTGGAAATAAAAATTTGTTGATTTTAATTAATTTTCTTGATGATCAGAGTATGCCAATTATATTATGTTCAAAAAATGTCATCTTATGTTTTCACTGGAAGGTGCTACAGCATTTTTAGTGAGCACTTCTATCCCAATTTGTTTACATATGAAGTATGTCACTTAGTCTAAGAAATATAGATCAGTGTGTTTATAAAACAAATGTTAAATGCAGATCTGCACTTCAGATGGCCTGGAGACCCACTGTTATAAGGGGAAACACAGCATAACATTTTCTTTACGTAAAGATAATTTTTTGCCACTTACATTACACAGGGATTAATCAGAACATAGTGAAATGAGAACTCACAGCTAAGAACAAAACCAAAAATCTGAGGGGCCATTGCCCAAACATATTAGGGCTCTTCACTTCTGCATTCCCAAGCCGTAATGTGAAAGCAGTGCATGGCAGGTATTTTTGATGCAGTTTAAGACAGTAACTAGAGCTGAGAGTGCTTTTTTCCCCTTTTAATTGTTAACACTAACACACTCTATGCAGAACCTGCTATGGTGTATGCATGCCTGATCTGAGACTCCTGCTTTCATTTTCTCTAAGGTCTGTTTTCCTCCATCTCCAAGTTTCAGCTGTGGCACTGACAGAACATGTTAATGCATTTAATGCACTATAATTCAGTTACTCCCTGAAAACTTGAGGTGGTCTGGCCATAACAAGTTTTTTGTTAGTGTTTAACTTTTTTTAAAATAATAGTGCTTTCATCATGGTTGACAACTGGCTGACTATGAGACAGAAGTGTGCCCAAGTGGCCAAGAAGGCCAGTGGCATCCTGGCTCAGAAATAGTGTGGCCAGCAGGACTAGGGAAGAGAATGTCCTGCTGTACTTGACACTGGTGAGGCCACACCTCAGATACTGTCTTCAATTTTGGGCCCCTCACTACACGAAAGACATTGAGGCACTGGAGCGTGTCCAAAGCAGAGCAATGAAGCTGGTGAAGGGTCTAGAGCACAAGCCTTATATGAGGAGCAGCAGAGGGAACGGGGGTGGTTTAGTTTGGAGAGGAGGAGGCTCAGGAGACCTTATTGCTCCCTACAACTACCTGAAAGGAGGTTGTAGCCAGGTGGGTGTTGGTCTCTTTTCCCATGTAACAAACACTAGGACAGGAGGACACAACCTCAAGTTGAATCAGGGGCGGTTTAGATTGGATATTAGGTAAACTTTCTTCACTGAAAGAGTTATCAAGCTTTGGAACAGGCTGCCCAGGGAAGTGGTTGAGCCCCCATCCCTGGAGGTATTTAAAAGACATAGAGGTGGTGCTTAGAAATGTGGTTTAGTGGTGGACTTGGCAGTGTTAGTTTTATGGTTGGACTCAATGATCTTAAAGAGCTTTTCCAGCCTAAATATTCTATGGCTCTATAATCCCTTCCTGTGAAAATATGAGTTATCAAAATCCAAATGCTTCCTGTCTTCCTTCATTTACAATGTCACGTATTTTGTGTATCTCATGATATCTCGGATGTGTGTGATTATGACATATTGTATTTGTGCGATAATTCTTTAGCTTGAGAATACTTCGTCATTACCTAGAGCATTCAGAGTGTCAGAATGCTTAGCTATTGATTTTTGATCCAAAATTTAGATAAATTTATTATTCTAGAAATATATTCAGACTTGTAGATGGACATTGCTTGGAAAACAATAATTATGCAGCGACATTTTAAATTTTAGCCATTATTGTCTTCATAATTGTCCAGCATCTCCTCTGTATTCTGGTGGAATATACAGAGATATCACTGTTAGTGTTAGAAGAATCGAGGAAAAACACTTTTTGAAAAAAAATGCAAGACTACATCCATTCATCAGTCAGCTTTTTTTTGAGAAACACACTTGCCGCCAGAGTTTATATTCCGAAGTGATAGAAAATCCTTCACTGACACTGAATAACTAATATTTTTATAATGCTGTCAAATTTTTTTACAGTGTGCGTCATGCCTGACTTAACAAAATTCAAAATGGCATGCTTTGAGACACACAACATGTGCTAGGGATTTAGTTACAGTTTAACCAGGTATACTTCTTTTCAGCTTGAAAATAATTCAAGATACTTAAACATTTCCATTATTCTCTCAGATATTGTTAAAATACTCCTTTTTTTTTTCTTTTTTTTTTTTTTTTTGTAGACACTTTGTACTGATACTTTTGTTTGGCTTCTCTTTAAGTAATATCATGTTACTATAAAGATATATAGTGTAGTATAAAATAAGTGTTTCCTCATAGATTTAAGCAATTCCAATCTAAAACATCTGAACAGTAATTACCATAGGTCACACCAGTGGGTCCATGGCAGGGTGCCTGGATGCAAATGCCTAACATTGAAGGTTTCTAATGCAAGGTCTAAGTGGTTTCTGAGAAGAAAACCACTTAGGGGCAACATTAATCACTGATACCCCTTAGACATTCCAATCTGTAGGTTATTTCCCAGCTGTCACTCAGCAGGAGATATTGCACAAGTTTGCACAGTCAGAGAGAATTTTTCTGACTGAGAGCTAGAAAATAGAGCTGTCGGCTTGGCAGAACGTGGAGCCTACGTGTCCCTCTCCCTCATTCTTACTGACCTGTTGGGGTTGGGCTGAAACAAAACGAGCACAGAAGGGCAAAGCTTTCTCCTCGTCTATAAGACACAAAGGGAATCACTTCGGCAACTTCCTATCTATTTACCTATTCGTTTAGCTATAGTTTAATGATCCGTTAGCATCTCTCCACTATCACAGCAGCTTCCAGAGGCTAACACAATCTCAGAACTGTAATAAACTGTGTGTAGAAGAGTGCTGTGCTCTTCAATTTTACCTGGCTAAATATTGAACCACTGCAATAGAAACTGCTTTATATTCTTCTCACAAAAAAATATCTTAAATCTGTGAGAGATCCTTTTTCTATATATACACGTATATATGCTCCCAAACATAGGAATATGTAATGTATATAAAAATCAGCATCCGTGCTGTTTTTTTCATTACATGCAATTTCCATTTGAATTTTGTAAGTAAATGCACCGATCAGTAATTTCTGTGAGCTGAGAGTTTCTGTGTCTTGTAAAACATATGTATTACTCAAAAACTACACTTCAGTCTGTGCTTTCACCTCTCTCAACTTGCAGGGCTTTTTCACAGCTCAACAGTTTTGTCAGAAAAACTCGAGCAAGGTCACACAGCTGTGCTGTATCAGTTAGCTTTTGTTCACAGACTAGCTGAACCCCTAAACTGAGTGTTACAAAAGTGAAGTGCATAAAAAATCAGCACATCAAGATGAAGATCCACTCGATTGTCTTTGCCTAGCTGAATATGGAGAGCAGAAGAGGGTGGAAATGCGGTATCAACAAAGGAAGTAGTGCAACTTCAAGGACTTAGCATTAATACTTATTAATTCATTAATGCTACCTTAACAGTAATTAATGTCAATTAATTTGTACTTGAAATTATCCTGTATAGAAATCTAATTAGAATAAGACAAATAGCCTGAGTTACTGCTGTTGTAATGTGAACAAACTGCTCACTTTCAAGTGTTGCATGGTGTTTTGATGGACGCTCGCACCACTTTCCAGGATGACATTTCTGCTCATTTCAAGTATATTCTCCAAAGCATAAATTTAAATTAATCCTTGTTCTTAGCCTTGAGAGTTTTTATGAGTATCACAGGGCTCTTCAAGTTTAGAATATAATTTTTAAATGGCTTTTAAGTATACATCCTTAGGATTTTTACACAGTGATAGCTCAATTGCGGTGACTGCATTCTGAGTTCAGATTTCTGACCTGTGTAGGTTTGTGTGATTCAGTTTTTAGTTTCCCCATGTCTTGCACATCGATTATCTGTTTAATATCTATTTTACACCAGATACTGTGCTAACATAGAGAGACCGTGTAACACCACATTTGATGAAAAAACAAATATCTTCTCATATCAGCAGTTTATTTTGGGTGAAAGAAAAAATTTTTTCTAACCATGTAATGTATACTTACAAGCTTACAATTGGTTGATTTTGTAGATGCATTTTTTGTGTAGTTGTATTATTAATATAATGCAATAAGAGTTGGGTTTTTTCCATCTGGGTGCACTCTCCTTCAGTTTTCTCTTTCCATCTTTGTGAAAGGCTACAGAAACACTTACAATAATTGTTGGTAGTAATTGTAATAATGCACTGTGAAAATTGAGTGCCCAGTAGCCATAATTATGATAGTAAGAACTTCCAGCTAGTAGGGTTACCTAATTGACTTGAACAATTCTCAAACTGTAATATTTGTTTTAATAGGCTTATCCTGTTGAGACATAGGGGAAAATGTAATCTTTCTCCAGATAACACACTGAAATAATATTACAAATATTTCACTGTTCCACTAAGTATTTATTGTCTCATCTTAAGCTTCAGTTTTACTTTTGTAGCACCAGAAGGATAAATAATAGAAATAAATAATAAAAAAGAGTTAACCGAAAAATAACCTAATTTGAATGACTGCTAGTTCTTATTCTGAAATAGCTTCCATAATTCCTTGTTTCCTTATTTTTGAATTTCCATTTTTTTCCTATCTATGATAACTTTTCTTATTTTGAAATTTGAGGGAGGAAAAAACTCCTTTGGCATAGTGATAGAATTGCCCTTCTCCCACGGTTTAAAAATGAAAATGTCTCTAAACAGATTTTTTTTAATGGACACAGATGTCAGGTTTGTGAAACCTGGCATAAACATTATCTTCTTTATGGAGAATTGGTAGTTAGGGGAGTTTGAAGAAGCTCATGGGCATTATAAATTCATTTCTGAGCATGTCTGAAGGACATCTGCTCTGGTTGCAAGAGAGCTGAGCAGAGCTCCACCCATTCAGAACATCACTGGACACTGCACATGCAGCTGTCTGCTTTCAGGCAGTTGTTCCTCCTCACACAGGAGGGATTTGTGAATGTTCCCATGAATGATATGAAGCAATATCACCCAGGAAATCTCAAGAGGCAGAAAATTGCAAGTTAATGTAATTTTGAGAGATTTAGCAATTTTTGTTGAATTTACAACATTATCAATATTCTTCTGAACAAAAATAGCGAACCCCTTGGCACTACATAGCCTGCAAATACCAGTGCTGAACAGAAAGACAAACAGGATATACCACAGGTATCTATTACTGGCTTCGTATAATAGTGAAGAAATTTGTATAGGCAGTGAATCAAAGCAGAAAGATGGCAGCTCTACATACACTTACAACAGATATTTATTGATTAAATTCCAACTCCAAAAACACATACTGAAGATAAGCTAAGAAGGATTGATCAGATAAAGTCAGTTAGATGCAAACCAGAAAATTTATATACATAAAAAAATGTATCTTTTATTTATTTTCTCTCTAGTAGTGTCTAAACGACTCCCAGCTAGTGTAATCACAAGCTTAGGAACTATAAAGAAATCTAAATTAAAATAGAAAAAGAAGGACTTTGTCTAATATTGCTAAGAAGTTTAAAACATGGAGTCAGTAGCTTTTTCTGTCCAATAACAGTAACCTTCTCAGTGAAAACAAATCCAGAATATCACTGTGGGATAATAGCACTCTTTGGAAATGTTTCTTCTTTTTTGGGGTTGTTTTGTTTTGTTTTGTTTTGTTTTTTGTCTTTTTCATTTGGTTAAAAAATTAACATAGGTAAGATAATATCTACCAAAGTGAGGTGACATGATGAATAAATGTAACATATGTGGAACACAACATGATTGATCTTTGTGGGCACATTGGTTATACAATAATAATAGTTCAGAGATGTGTAGACTGTTATGATGCAGTCACTAAATTTCTATCTAAATTAACCTTCAGAAGTGGCAGATTTGCATTAACCTGAGGGGAAAAAAAAAAAAAAAAAAAAACAAAAAAAAACAAAACAAAACAAACAAAAAAAAAAAAAAACAAAAAAACAAAAAAAACCACAATAACCCCCAAAATATAGTGTCACTTTTCTTCCCCATTAGCGAGTAGGATCTCATATTTTTATGGAGGCACTTAATTCAGAAATCAGTTGTGTACTGAATGGGGATAACTCAGTGTTTAAGTCCCTATAATGGAGAATTGTCAGGCACATTAGCAGACTTATATCAAACTTTTAAATTGCTATTTGAACAACGGTTCATTCCTGGGTATCTGTTTGTGAGGCATTCTTTTGTTTCATGTTTAATCTTTTTGTTTTCACTTCCAGGAGCTGGAGTTTTCCAACCTGTTTGCAGTCCTTCACTGTATTCACTCATTCTTTGCAGCCAAAGTGGCTTGTTTGGACCCTTTGTATGTAGGCAGTCAAGCCACAGCTTCTGCTGCTCCCACAACTTCTGGTTCTGGCAAATTGAAGTATACTACTTGACATCTCGCATTAAAGCACTGCCACTTAACAACAGGACATAACGATGTATAAATATTCATAAGATGTAGACCTTTGGTGAACCATGTACATGGAAACCAATCCTGGAGGCAAGACATCTTGCAGCATCAGCAGATAAATGGTCACGTGGGATCATAAATTCATCTCTGTTCTGCAAGACATCGGTAAATAATCTTAGTCGAAACCCCAGAATAAGATGGATATGCTTTTAGTATGATCTATTTGTACTTACATAGTGCTTTAAGCAACACTGGAAGCAAAGGAAAAAATGATGAAATCAAGCACTTTGATATTTAATAAAATTTTCAAATTGCTGTAATAATACACAAATAGAAATGTCATTTTCCTGTTTTCAGATGTTTTTTTTATGACAATATACTAAACTCTGAGTATGAACTTAACACCCTATCATTATATTATAAATGACATAAGAGCAAGCAACAAGCATATATTACATGGTGACAAGGAGATAAGCATGAAAAGGCATTTGTGTAAGTATCTCCTCAAATAAGAAAGCACTTTAAGCACTGTTGTAAATCCATACTTGTGTCCATACATGGCGTCATGCTACTTTTTCTATTTTGTTCTTTTAGTCTAATAGCCATATTGGACTGATACATTAAAAAAAAAAAAAAAAAACAAAAAAACAAAAAACAACAACAACAAAAAACAAAACCAAGCTACAAAAAGCAAAATACCTTTCCATGAGTAAGTCCCTCTTCTTCAAGTAAAAACAATGCGATATGAATTTAAATAACAAATTAAGTGCAAATGCGTAAAATATCCTGTTTGCTATTTACTTCCTCCCATTTTTTGGTCAGGAATTAAATTCTGTAAATCTAATAGTCTTTGTTCACAAGACTCAGTTGTTGAATTTGTTTCAGAAACAATCCACCTAATACATTGTTTCCATGTTTAACCTTGATTTCACATCATAAGTGGGAAGTCTGTTCCATTCAGGCTCTCAACAAATAGACACTCTACATTATGCTTGACAAATGAGTCCACCCTTTGAATTCTTAATAATTTTTTTTTTTATATTGTTACTAAAAGACAGGAGTAAATTAAACAACCTGTAAAGAATAGATGACAAAATGCAAAATTTCTTTGTATGCTAAGAATATTTCATCACTCTGGACCACATATTAGTTCCAGAGTATCATTTAATGATGAAATCCGAGGGAGTTGTAAATTTAAAATTAACAAATGTATTTAAATATAATTTTGCAAAATAATTTAATTTTTTGCTATTACACACATCAGTGAAGCCTGAAAAATGATGGGATCATGTGTTGGATATACCTGAAACAACAGAAATAGCGAGGGGTTTTTTTTTGCCAGACAGGATAAGAGAGCCTAAAAAGGAAGTTTAGGAGGTGCAGCTACAGTTTGTGCATAACATTTTAAATAGTTCTTTGTGGGGTTTCTATTTATTATATTGAAATAAATACATCCTTTTTTATTTTTTTTTTCCCCCCACACTTAGACTTGTTATAAAAACACATAGCACATAAGGGTTATGGAGACCATCTGCCTTGTTTAGCAGAAAGACTAGTTGTCACATCCCCTTCTACATATTAAGATAATTAAAACTTCAAAAGTGAAGCCAGAGGGAAGCTTTTTCAAAATGGGAACAATTCAAAATGCAAGGCAGGAACAGAAGATGAATGAACTGTAGGGACAAATCACGGTTCTGTTTGTCTGCTTTGAATTGGAAGTATTTGGATTTATGTGTGTGAGAGTATCCTTGCCTTGAAGTATAGCTGATCTCACTCATTACTAGTTCCAAATAATCTGAAAATATATTTTCTGGGGACCCTTTTATCACTTTCAAATGACTTTCAGTACATGCTCACTTATTAGTACACCTCCAAAGGTTACACATTTATTTTCCGAGCTAACTACAATGGAATGATGCCATAATCCAACTATAAAACGCTTTAGGTGTCATCAAAATCCAACATTTTCACAGTCATCATCGTGTGTTTGTACGAATTGTCCCTAAATACGGGGATCACATCCTGGTCTCTGAAGACACATAAAACTACCGTGGCTGTCCATGGGATCTTGAGTTTTGTTCCTGAGATAGTACAAACCCCAGATATTTTGAATCTAAACTACAACAGTCTAAGGGGTGTAATGACGGTGACTCAGGAACTGTCTTTGCCAAGAAAGCATGTACTGGAAACACAATTTTTGACAGAGCACTGACAACTCTGAAAACAGAAGCCCGATATCTGTTTGTGACAGTTCTCCTCCTCCGTGCTTGCCAATCGTCTCCTTCCTTTGAGTGCGCTGCGGTGGCATTCAGCTAGCCCAGGGCTGGCCCGCGCTAACACCTCTGCTGGTAATAGCAGAAAACTAATCAGCTGCCAGTTGAATGTTTTCCCTTCAACTGTTCATGTTAGGTACGCAGTTGCACACTGAAACTGAGAGCTGTTTAAGGGGGGGGGGTGTTGTTGTTTAATGTTCTTAAATGAACATAACGTTTACCCAAAACCAGCAGAAAGTATGTCACTGGAAATTGCTGTAGATTAAGGCCTGCCCCCCTTCCTCCCCGCCCCCACTCAGGCACTCCTTCCCCCCCCCAAAAAAAATGCTCCTTGTGCAGAACTGAGCTAATGACATGAACTTTGGGGACTCCACCAGGGTATCCTAAAGATCTCTGTCAGGTATTCTGTTTGTAGAACTGCTGTATTCATCAATGAGACTTTTGTAACTGGGCATTAAATACACAGCATTCAAGAGACAAACATTAGCCTGATTTTTTTGTTTCTTTTTTTTTCTAAACCCCTGTGTTTCAAAGAGCTAAACTGGGGGGGGGCTTAATCAATACTTTTATTTTCAAGCAGATAAAAGTGATGTTGTGAGAATATAAAGTGCCACAGCCTTGGCTGCAGGTCAGCGTTGGTTTGTAAGTGCTACTGGGGTTTGGGCACTGACCTCACAGAACATTCCAAGGTGACTCTGCGTCCAGGCTTGACCGTTTAGAGGAGGTTGGTTGGAAATTCAGTCTTGAAACAAAGAGAGAAAATTTCAAGCTCTGTGTTATAACTAATACCAAAATAGCAAAATGTAATTTACAAGCATATTAAATGGCTATATTTTTCATTTAAATACCTACTGGAGATTTCCATTTAAAGCATACTGAATTTCATACACACATGTCAAAACCCAGGCTTTATGTTGCAGCCTCTCATTTCACACGTGACATATAATGAGTACAAGTATTTTGTAAGCCAAACCAGCCCAGTGACAATGAGGAGACACAATTATAATGAGCTATCAGCTTTTGCTAAAAACCTGTATGCAAGTGAAGGCAAATATTCTAACAGAAAAGAGCAAACCAACCAACCCATACTGTACAATATGATCCGTTCTCTTTATGTCATTATATTCTTAAATAAGTTTAATTAAAAAAAAAATTCTTTATGGTACTGTGCCTACTGAAGTGATGTTATATAGTATACCAAAAATATGTACTCTTAAGTATAACTATATTTGGTTTAATTTGCTTTGTTTTCTGATGGAAATTTTAGATGGTCTGACCTTCACAGAACTAACCATATGCTAGGTGTTAGCTTAATTTTATTATGAAAGTGTTATCAAATTGAATACACATTATTATGGATTTAATCGGTGAATGAATATGTTTCATTTCCTATATCTGTTTAAAAATACAGTTCCAGATTTTCAAAAGAGCTTTGCATTCCAGTAACATGAAGGCACCTTTGAAATAAAAAGCACTGTATTTTTAAATGTTGGCCATTTTACTTTGTTAATTAAGTGCAGGAAGAAGTTTGTGGAGACAAACTAGTTGTAAGTGGGTTATTTTTTAAAAACCAGCGATTTGAAGTTTTGTCTATTCAAACTAGGATTCGTAAGAATGCAAACCAATAATATACAGTATCAATAAGCTTTGAGATGAGAATCACAAAAAATATAATTTTCCAAATTAGTCCTTGATTTCACAAAAATATATTTATTTATTTATTTTGTACACGTAGACTTTATCAGAACACTTCAAAATGGACAGTTAAACATGAGTAGGTATTTGTCAGTACCACAGCCTATTACTTTAAATGTGATTTGGTTTATTCAATGCTTAAGATGTTTCTTACATCAAACAAAATATTAAAAATGCTGAAGATCATGTGAATGTAGAGTTGTTGCCCTTAGAAATTGAGCAGCTTTGCTACATATTGTCTAAGTACCCTTGGGTATTTCCTATGTCAAAAAGAAAGACCAGTTTTCATTCTGGTATGGCAATCGCAAGGAACCTTTTGGAAAATATAATTTTATTTATATTAAACACTAATCCTTGTATCGCACTTTCTGTTTCCTTGCAGGGTCTGGTCTCTGAAAAAGTGTAGTGGCAAAGTTTAAGCTGGTTTTAAAACGTTCAACCTCAGGCAGTTATGAGTCTGTATTTTGGACTCACACCTCTTACCAGTTCTGCACGATGAGTGACATGCAACTCTCACCCAAGCTCCTGAAGTTTAAGTTGCTATCTTAGATGCCTAAGGGAGGGCTTGGGGCTTTCAAAATGGAAATACAAGGCAGGAACATAGCTCAGGATCTCTGGAGGTGCACGTGTGTGTGTGTCTATGGGGAGCTAGAGGTGCTTCTACGTTAGTGTTTTCTTTTCATCAGGAACATGCTTCTGAAGCCGAGCTCCCGCCTGCTGCCGCTCACTGTGCTGTTCATAACGCAGGGCAGTCTGTAAGCACATGAACTGGGGTTTTAGGATGAAACTAAGCGAGAATCACACCTATACGGGTTTCAGGCCCCGATGGGCTTTCAGATCCCTTGGCCTAACATAAATGAGCCCAGAGGAGAAAAAACCCTGAGATGCTAACAGCAAGGCTGCCAGGTCCTGGTGCCAGCCGTTTCTGCCTCTGCAGCGGCTGCTGCTCATGCACTGTGGGTGCTTGAAGGACCCTAGGAAGCTGAACTTCAAAGTATAGCCCACCAGAGCTTAGTGCTTGAAGGGGGACGCTGCGCTGCTGGGTGCTTGAAGGCTGATGGGTGCCCAGGGCAGGTTATTCTGCATCACCTTTTCCCCTCACCACACTGGGACACTGCTGACTGCAATCAGGTCACCCCACGCTGGTCAGCCCTCTCCCTGCTGCGTGTTTCTCCCCACCTACCACAAATACACACCTGAATATTTGCTCTGAGGTCCCCAGGCACACTCCCCTGTCCCTTCACCTCCTTTGCTCAGACAGATGGTAAAACTGTACTCTCAGCTACATGACAGAGCCTCTAAACCTCTTAGGCAGAGGACATCATTAAGGATTATGCCAAGGGCATCCGTGTACCACTAATATTGCTTGAGGGTGTGATTAACATTCAGGTTAAAGCAAATAAAGTCATATATGGACTTAAGTGCTTTCCTGACTTGGAGGGTTCTTAAGTGCAATTTCAGTATTTTCCTGGAATAAGGTCTGTAACGTTAACACACTTCTACTTGGTTGGTTCCATTTTAAGGAAGTTTAGCAGAGGTAGTGGTTCATATTCTGTTGGAACCATAGAGGAAAGTATAGGAACACTGGAATAAAAAGAAATTTTGGTTTGGATTCTGTATATTATTACAGTACATTACATAATCTATAAAACACATTGAACAACATCAAATTTAATGCTCTCATTTACGTAACCTAGTCAGCTTTCACTATGGTGTACAAGACTTCCACTTTCAACAACTTTCTCCACAAGAATCCCAACTATATATTATAGAAATTATTTTATTATTCAGTATATACTAATATATAATGCATAGTGTGTGTATGTGTGTGTGTGTGTGTGTGTGTGTGTATATATTAGTATATACTAATGGAAAATACTCAGTATATATTAATGAAAGTTACATCTTAGGTACATCTATAGAACAGAAGTATAAATCTATGAAGCTTTACATTTAAAAACTTCATCTTATAATACTATAAAGAAAAATATGTATATTAGTTGAAGAAATGGCTATTTTTGCAGGATATGCACAATCTGGGTATACAATAATAAATTGATAAACATCAACCAATTTACTATTTCATACTTCCAGGAACTTTGATTTTTTAATTATTCTTATCCCTTTAGCATATTTGCAATATATGTCATAAGTTTTAATTTGTTATGGATAAAATGACTGAAAAAATGTAATAGAAAGTGCTATATATTTTATAAATATTAAAAATTGAAGAAACACTATTAAAATTATTTATTTCATTTTTAGTTATGGTTTTGTGGTTGTTTGTAATATGTATTTGTGATAAACATAAGTCACCTAGTGGTTTAAGCTCATTAATGTATCACTAATAAAATGCTATCTTCTGTTTTGTTTTTGTTATGTTTTGTTTTGCTTCTTTTTGTAATGGAACATAACAGAAAAAAATACAAAATAAACACTTTTTTAACTAATAGTTTGCATTCAGTCATACAGTGTATGAGTTTTATATTGTTGACAGTGAAGTCTGAGAGATCAGGAAAATACTTGAAGAAGCTGGGGTCATAAAGTTCCGCCTCTCCTCTGGCTATGAAGCTCTCCTACAACCAGATTATTTTACCACACAGCCATCAGATTATTTTACCATTGACATTCAGTTGTTCAGTGTTGGTTGGAATGAACTTGGGCCTGATATTGCAGTACTTGAAAGTATTTTTTGGTACATTTTTGCAAGCAAAAAACTTTCAAATGGTGCTGCAACTACTAGAACAAAAACGACTTTGATGAGTTCAAATTTTGGTTGTCTTTTTCCCTGACTGAGGGAAGAGATGCTGGGAGAAGCAGAGTCCTTGCTTCTACTTAGGCACCTTTGTACCTTTTCAACAAATTAGGGTGAGAGTCTGCAGTGAATCCCTTGCAGGCCCATTTTTGATGCCTTTCTTGTGCTCCCTTGTGACAGTGCTGCTGGCGCCTTTCCCCCCACTCCCTCCACAAGCAGTCATCAGGGCTTGCCCAGACCTCAGGCTGGGGTTGCCTTCCTCAGACCTGTACCCAAGGAAATCTCCCTTGTTGGCCCCAGCCCTTTCAGCATCTTGAAAAGAAGGGAAAAAATAATATGAAGGTTGTTGTAATTACAAGTGTGAAGAACACTTTGTGATGAAAAAATCCTCAGTCTTCATGGCCAGATGTGATTCAGGTGATGTGGGTTAGCAAACATGCATCTCTGTCACATCACTTCAGTTACCTTCCTGTGTCTCAGGTTTGGTTTTGTACCACATTTTAGTGATAGGCCAGAACAAAAAAAAAAAAAAAAAAAAAAAAAAGAGAGGAGATAGATCTTTTAAAAAAGAAAGGTGAAGAGAATCATAGAATATTACAAAGTTAGGAAAATCTTGGAAGCAAGTATATTCCAAAGGTACAGAAATCCCATTATAGCTAACATTTCAATTTGTGCTTTAAATATGAACATTTTCTATTGGGTGCATGAACTCACATAAAACTGAAAGGTTTGTTTATTCTGGAAATACCTATTTTCTTCAGGATTATTATTTTTAATCTAGCAGCTTTTACATCTTCCCCAAAGATTTTGACCTCAAATGAAAATTCCTGTAATCAGAGTTTCTGAAGATACAGACCTTGAATGTGCTTCTTTAAATTCATGGTACTTATGTTCCACAGCTAACATACTTGTTCTTCAAGCCCTACAGCAATTTATTCTTGCACCATTTAAAATGAGTTGTGATCTATTTACCTGTGCATTTGGTCAATGAAATTTAGCACAATAATCAATAAGTTGCACAGTTCTGTAGTGTTTCAGTATTTTGACCGTAGCTATTTTTACATTTGCCTATGAAGTAGTAGCATTTTTTAAAGTATTCTTGAAAGCACAATTCCCTTTACAAATTGAAAACTATATCCCTTAATTTCCTTATCAGGAAAAATATATTCTCTGGAGTGCTCTAGTTAATATCACTATGAAGTTGTTCAGAAAAGTGAAGAGAGGGATTTACCATACACTAAGTATTGGGGTTTGTCAGCTATATATTTTATGTACTTTGCATGCACACTCTTCTTGCAACTGTGAACAGAATTTCTTCCTAGTCCTGTCCTTCTTTGCCACATATGGCACAGGTTCTTGCTGACAGGCCTGGCTCAGGACTCCTTAATGCTGTGCACAAAATTTTATCAGTCTAAAAATGCTGGGGTAGTTAAGATTAAGTTGGTCACGGGAAGAAAAAGGATTGGATCAGAAGGCAAATCATAGATCTGGATGTTCTTCTGGTTGGATTTGGTCTTATTGTTACTGGGAGAAAGAACCAGCCCCCTTCCAGTTCCCCAGCAGAAATCCCTCTCCCTCTGCTCCTTTCCCTGGAAGCAATGTCACCTTCCTCTGCTGGTTTGACTTTTCAGGAACCCAACATGTGCAAAATTGGGTGTTGTCCATGGCACTTTTACCATCTCAAACCTCCAAAGCTATTCCTTTAGGTAGATCTATTATTAAGTTCAGCAAAGAGACTAAGATGCAATGAAAATCTTAAATGGCTGAGCACAGAGGAATCCAGTCTCTATTCTCTCTTCAAACATATTATAGCACATTTACACAAAAGTTATCAGCGTGTTAGGGACAGTTCCTTTCTTCTGTGTTTTTTGCATTCACTTGGTGAATGCATTTATGGCAGTAGAGCAACTGCAGTATTAGACACTTTAGGCACTGATCTGTAAGTGATAATCACTTCATCTTCTCTAGGGAAGTTTCAATGTTTTCCAGGGACTGTCTAGGCATGGGTCACATCCTCAGCAGAGATGGGCTTCTGCCACTTCTGCTCCCAAAGTGGAGACTCACCAGCGTGCTGACCTGTAGCCATGACCCTGTAGAGCCTCCCTTGGAGGTTCAGTACTCATCCAAGGAGGTCTGCACCATGGTCATTTTGTCCTTGTACAGACACAGTCTGGAGACCAGCCAAGATACAACCGCAAAACTGATAGATGTAGGTCAGATCCTGCTGTCCAGGGGGATCAGAATAAGAAATTAAGGAGGCTACACTAAGAGCCCAGTTTCATAAAGCACTGAACGAACTCTTGAGCACCTCTGATATGAGAAAGAGTCTAAGGTGCTGAGACCAAGAAGAAGGAATTATGTTTCACTGTCCTTCAGTAACATACTAGAAATCAAAAGATAAATTTAGCTCATTACTAGAAGAAGGATGGGGGAAAAAAATCTGATTTCAGAGAAAGTCAATGAGCTTCAGAGCATCTACTCTTGTGTCACTGGTATGGTGAGAAGGAAACATTGTTGGCCCAAGTGACTATGGTAAAAGTTATGTATCACCAGTCTGGAGATGGTTTAAAACTCAAGAGGCCATAAACAGAGATTTATTCCTTTCCCTAAAAGACACAGCATAAAACCAGTAGTAACTGGAAGAGTGTATGTGGCAGCACTGCCACCCCTCACTCCCTGATTTAGCCTTTCATAATTGTGAGCATAGAAGAAAATAGTGTTTTACCTGCTTTCTATATTTCTGGGCTACCTAAGGTGCAACCTGAACTGTTTTGCTGCAGCGTGGACGACTAGAAAGATATTTACTAGATGCTGAGATTGTCATGTGAAGATATCTCTAGAAACTGGGGTTTTAAAAAATGAAAAAAAAAGGTCCATCAAGTACCATGAGGTTCAGTGAAAAAACAAGAGATAAACTTATGCAGCCAGAGCCAAACTCTCACCTTTCTCTTTTGAACAGATGCAAAATCCTTTTAGCTAGATGTCTTTGTGTTGTTTTTTTGTTGTTCATTTGTTTGTTTTGTTTTTTTTTTTTTTTTCCTATTTTGTTTCAAGAGGCTAGTGAGGGAAGACAAAGGGTCTCAGAAAGGTTAAACTCCTTGAAGCAAGGAAGAGTGATAGTGGGGTGATTGGGTGTGGTCTTTGCACTGCAATACCACCAAGTGCAGCAAAGGCTCAGATCAGGGCAACATCACGAACAATTTACGTTCTGTTCACACCAGAAGACAATTATTTGAAAGAAACATGACGCTAAGGCTTTCTATCATTTCACAAGAAACAGGAGCTCAGACTATGGTTAACATGGAAACTCAAAGGTTAGGGGAACTCATATCTGAGTGGTTCACATGTCTGGGAGCAGTTTCACAGAAGTATGCATGGGGCTTTTCCCTGACAGTGAGGTTGGGGGCCCCAGTGCTGGTGTAACGTAAGAGAGATCTGAGCTGTCTGAGGGGATTAGGGGACCTGAGTGACCTTCGGAGGAAAATAAATTTAGGAAGAACATCCTGAGTCACTGAATCTTATCCAGCTTCCTCAGGCAGTCATGTCATATAACCCCCCTCATAAATGTTTAAACTTCATCTTAAAGGTAATTAGGTATCTTGGCCCTCTTCCTCTCGTTGGAAAACCTTCTGGAATCTAACTGCTCTGATGGTTCAAATCTGTCTTCTAATTTCCAGCCTAAACATATTTGTAACTAGTTTATAGCTATTTGATTTTATGCCAGCATTATCCTTTAATTTAAAGGTTTTTTTCCAGCCCTGGTGTCAGTCCCCCCTTTCCCCTCCTCTCTTCGATGTATTTATAGCAAGCAATCATATGCCCTGACAGCTTTCATTTTGCCTCAGTGCACAAGCCAAGCTCATACAGAAGATGTCTATGCAGTGCAGTGAAATTTGGTGCAGAGATTCCTGAGCTATTGCTGAGTCCAGCTGATATGTCTACCTGTTGTGCTGCAGCAATACCAGCTCAGGGCCAGAAGCAGTTCATCCACTTTAATGCAGTTTAAGATAATAAATACAGCTCATCAGCACCACACTGTGATATACTGCTTCTAGAGCAGATAAAGTCCATGGCAGCTCAGGGCTTTCTGCACCACTCTTCATTGCTCAGTGCAGACATTTGCTAATCAGGTTCCCTGGCTTGTTTCCATACCATCCTAATGGGATGCAGTCTTACTCAAAATCTGTTCCAATTTGACGTTTTTCCCTGACTGTGACTACTTCTTCACCTTATACCACAGTCCAGATATGATCTTCCTTATGTCCTGCCCTATGGCCATAATATTAGTCGACTGTCTGCAAAGACTGTGACTGGTTGCATGAGTTAGTTCCATGGCTGCATCACACTGGTGACTCACAGGCATCTTGTGAAAAGATACTATATCATGGATCTCCTTGTTCTTCCAGTCGTGTGATCAGCTCTCAGATCATCAGTAATGAGGATGGGGTATAGGAACAGGTCAGTTTATCACCCAGAAGATAAACTGGGAGTCTTTCTCTTTTTTCCCCCTGCATTATGGAGAAGAGAGAAATGAGCCATCATTTTAAGAGATAGCTTTTAGTGAGACAGCTCCAAGGAGTGTCAGGGTAAAGATGCAAATTTGGATGCAAACC